TCTTCTTCAATATACTTTATTCTACTCTACTCTACTTCAATATACTTTATTCTACTCTACTCTACTCCATAAAGTTGTAAATGTTTCCTCAGTACGTGTTTTGTTTTGAAGAGTCAAACCGGATGTTGTGTTGTTGTTTACGTCTCTGCTCGGTCCTCCCACTCTGTGGTCCGTGTGGTCGCTGCACTTCACGGTCTTTTTAGTTCCGGCTCTGTCAGAAGCGACTGCTGTTTCACGTGACGTCAGTTGGAAATGTCTGCAGAGAGTGAAGCTGTGTTCAGGTACAAACTTATCTCTGTGACTTCACGAGCTTCACATCGTGTGATTTGACTTTTTGAGATTAGGAGTTTGCTCCCTGTTGTTCACTCTGCTTGTAATTAAGTGTATTGACCATTGACAGGACAGGACACACAACTCACATGTATTCTGTGACCACATTTGTATTTATTTGTATAAGTTTGTCTTTTAAATCAGGTTCATTGGCAGATGACACATCATTTGAGGATTCTAGTGAAAGTAGTTCTAGTGAAAGTGAAAGTGAATATGTAAAAGTCAATGTGACAGGAAATGGTTTATTTCCCTCCATAAGCCTGGTAATAAATAATATACACAGTTATCTTTCTCTCTTCTTGTTCCACAGCATCGTCCCTGATGATGAGGAATCTGGAGAAAAGTTCAAGAAAAGTGACCAGGTTGCTTTTTACAGGTACATTCACTGTAACACTGAAACTATCAATACGTCAGAGCTGGGTGATTAAACAATATGAATAATTATCTTGTTATAATTATTGTGTATATATTGTTAAGAGTTTAATACACAACTGATCGACCTCAGATTTGTAAAATGTTTTGCTTTTTATTGTTTTTATACATTTGTAGTTGTAGGTCACGTGTGAGCTAAAGCTACAAATTAATAAAAACAACAAGTTTTGTTGCATCGTGATATTTATGCCTATTGTCACTTTTGAGGCGACAAATGCAGGGTCCGAACCTGCAGCACCGAGCCCTTCTGGACACCATGGTGCTCACAGAGAAGGGGGCACGATTTGAACTACTGGAGGCCGACACACAGGTCTGAACACTGATAACACTGAATTCACATTACAAAAGTTAGAACTGGTTGATGACAGAGAGTTCCACGTGTAACCGAAGCAGGATGTTAATAAAATGCCCCTTTGACTTTCATCAGCAGAGTTACAAAGATAAATATAATCCGAATCACTTAATTGATCCCCATGAAATGCTCTTTTATGCACATAATTATCTCTCATGTTGTCTTGTTATGATATAAATAAAGCACCGCTTTAAATTCTACAAAAAATGATATCTCTTGCTTTACTCTTTTCACAGACCAGACTGATTCTTTTGGTGTCACCCTGCAAAAATGACACTGTAAGAATTCTGATAGACGAACTCCAGCCCATTAAAGCACGTTACCGAGTTCAAGATGTGATAACTGGTGAACCACAGTGTGAACAGTAAGAGCCGCATCAGCTCCACCCTTGTTTTATAATATGTAGTTACACAAGCAGATCCACTCCAAGCTTTGTGTCTTTGTTGTGTTACACATGAGAAATGATTAATTGCTGAAATCATTCAGGTTTAATAGGAGCTTCTTCTAAACATCATTTATAATAATCGATATAATTGACGACCATATCATTTGACAGATTTTTCTAATCCTAATATGTGTGACTGCTGCAGCATTTCAACAGTGTTGTCCCTCGTCGTCCCGCAGGTTGAGAGTGAAGAGACAGACGAAGGACTGTGTTACCCTGACCTGGTCGTCAGGACGTTATCAGGCTCGCTTGTGGTCTTTTCCTTTTTATCTGGAGATCCTGTGCGAAGAGGAAGTGATGGTCACATTCAACTCTAGAAGAAAACTGTGGTTTGAGACGCTGCAGGATCGACCCAGGTGAGTTACAGGGACGAGTTGTGTTCTGGAAAACAAATGAATCAACACTGATCACTTTTCTTTGTGTTTTTTCTCCACATGGCCACATCTCAGTGAGGTGAGAGAATATTAATGCTTTTCAAACTCCAGTATCATGTCACTCCCACGAGAAGCTTCATCTTCTTTATAAATACCTCCTGTTCTTTTTCACTTTGACAGCTTCAAGAGGACGACTCAAGTTTATTGTGGAAAGAGACTTTCAAGCAGTTTGTGGACATCAAAGCTAATGGTTCGTGTCTGCGGTTAAATTCTTTAAAATCAAACCTGTCAGTAAATTATCCTGCAGCTAAATATGATTCAGTCTTATTTAGGATTAAATCTCATTTACTGAGCTTTTTGAGAATCCACTCCGCAGAATGTCTAACCCTCCATATCACCAGGATCCTGAATGGAACGACATTTTAAAACTGTAATTTTTGTGCATACAATAATAAATATATTTGCGTAGCATCTTTAGTAGCCACTGTATAAACTACACTGTATGAAACATGGTAAATATAAAAGTGGTGTTTTTCATTGCTGTTCATCTGTTTGTCAGCAGGATTATTCAAAAACTACAGAACTGATTTTTATTTATAGAAACTTGGTAGAAGGTGGTTGATGAGCCAAAGAAGAACCCGTGAACTTCTGGAGCAGATTTGTTTAAATTCATTATCACTTTCTTTAACATCATGAGATAAGATGTTGTGCGTGTCCAGGCCCGAGCAGCATTGGGGCGGACCTCTGTCTTCACGGGTTCAGTCACGTGTACGGTCTTCCAGAACATGCCGACAGCCTGCAGCTCAGAGACACCAGGTACACACGGCAGCTAAACATGTGATTCATGTTTTCATCTCTTTACACATACATTCACAATTCTAGTTTTTAAAAAAATGTGTTTGATTTCACAGAGATGATGAACCTTACCGGCTCTATAACTTGGATGTGTTCGCCTATGACCTGTACAGTCGCTTTGGCCTGTACGGGTCCGTGCCGCTGCTGGTGGCCCACAAACTGGACAGGACCCTGGGTGTGTTTTGGCAAAATGCATCTGAGACGTTTGTGAACATACGATACAGTCCCAGTGACCAGCAGGTAAACCGTGGTCACAGTGCTGTCGTCATACAGTGTCTGTCAGCCTCTTGAAATAATTCTATCATCCTCTTGCTCATAATAACAATTGGACGCAGGATTATTAGAATAAATAATTACAGAAACCATCAATTCAAACGATCTGGCCTCACTCGTCATTTCGTCCATCTGTTTATAAAGTCTATTTTCATTTCCACCTGATTGCCCCCTGTACCTCACCAGGATGAACAAGTGCCCCTGATACAGAGGAGGTGGAGGGAGCCTCAGACTGACGTCCACTGGCTGTCGGAGAGCGGCGTGATCGACTGTGTGGTTCTGCTCGGGCCCAGTCCACAGCAGCTCTTCAGCCAGTACGCTCAGCTGACAGGTGAGTTTTATTTGTGTATAAAAGGAAAGAATGAACTTTCATGGAACTTCTTCTCTCACAAAGTAAATTAAAACAATCTCAGACGGATAGTTTTTAATTTCACACGTCCAGATCCTGCGTGATGTTGAACTCTACTTCCTGACCATTTCTCTCCCCCGTCTGTCAGGGTATCAAACCCTTCCCCCTCTGTTTGCCCTCGGGTACCACCAGAGCCGCTGGAACTATAAGGATGAAGCTGATGTGAGGGCTGTAGACTCTGGATTTGATCGTCACGACATCCCCTACGATGTCATGTGGCTGGACATCGACCACACGGACGGGAAACGTTACTTCACCTGGGACCCCGTTTGTTTTCCTGAACCTGCCCGTCTGCAGCTCCACCTCAAGAAGAAGAACCGGAAGGTGGGTTTCAGGTTGCACAGTTTGTAGAGCAGGTTTCTCCTTTCTTTTATGAGTGAATTCATTCTGGGTATTCACTGTGTGTATCTGTATGTTTTCTATAGCTGGTTGTTATAAGTGATCCCCACTTCAAAGCTGATCCTGATTGGTCACTGTACCGCGAGGCCAGGGACGGTGGACATTTTGTCAAGGACAGAGAGGGACAGCTCTATGTGGGCTCATGCTGGCCCGGTAAGCTTCCTCCGACATGAAGTTAAAAAACATAAATTCAATATTTTATAGTAGTTAACGTCTTTATACCCACGGTAAGATTTCTACGTGGTGTTTTATAACACCTCCATTTACAACATATCTTCTCTGT